CTTATAGGGTTTATACTGAGTACAATATTGTATAACTGTAATAATTCAACTGTAAACCTAAAAATTTACAGCCAATTTTGAAAGAGATGCATCCTACCTCAGGAAACCGTTATTGAATATGTCAATTGTGTTGTAATGATATGCTTCTTCTAAGTATGTTGTTATTAAATAAATCATTTTTAAAAATTAAAAAAAAATAGCCCTATGTATCAAAGGACTTCAAAACTTACAGTTAAATTACATTTACTTTGTTCATAATCTAGTGCCTACTATACATCATGCCTTATGCTCAGCACTGGAACAAAGTAGACATTGCCTCAGTCAGAGCATAAACTATAATTGGTGTAGTTTAACTTTGAGTTGATTTTAGTGTATTCTAATCCTTTGAAAGTATGGGTGATGGGAATGTTTGCTAACTCAAATAACCCAGTCCCCTCTCAAAACAAAAGAGTGAATTACTGTATTCAGCTCCATTTTAAATCTTAGTCCAATTTTTTTATTATATATGAATACTACACCCTGGACAATTTATGAAGGATAAATATTTATTTAACTCATGGTTCTGTGGGCTGAAAAGTTCAAGGTCATGTAACCATCATCTGGTAAGGATCTTCTCAGTGAGTCCATCACATGACAAGGTAGAACAAACTTTTCATAGAAAGCTAGCCTTTATAAAGCATTGTCTCTGGTGAGAATCCACTAACCTATTCATGAAGGCGGAGCCCCTATGACCTAATCACCTCCAAGGCCCAACCTACAAATACCATTAACCTATGAATTTGAAGATTAAGTTTCCAGCAAATGAAATTTGGAGAAGACAGTAACTCAGTGATCAAAACCCTACTTATTTTGACATGCTATAGGGGCTATTACCAAAGCAATGCCAAATATGATTTAAACTGGCCTATTTAGAGTCTAATCACCAAGGACTAGAGTGGTTATGAGTGATTGCTGCCCAATCATGAAGACCAGAGTTCAGATCTCAGCCCCAATTTTGTAACCCCAGCTCTGAGCAGGGTAGAAACAAGAGAATCACTGGGGCTTGCTGAAAAAAAAAAGACTCAAGGAGAGTCCTTGCCTCAAAGAAGTAGGTGGAAAGCTATAGAAGAGGACATCAAAACTTCTAGGCTCTGTATGCCTGAGGACACATGAACAAACACACACACACACACACACACACACACACACACACACACACACACACTTACATAAATAAATAAATCTTAGAATCTAAGAGTCTTTCTTGACCTAAATTTCATTGAGGTTTTTGTAAGACATGTTTATTCTTTCTAGAGATTGGAGTCATAAGATGTGGCCAAAGGCCATATAATCTACCTGCTAGTAATAGTCTATTGATTTACTATGAGTACTGACATACTTTAACATAATGATAGATTTATAGCATGCTTTTTCTACATGAGCCCCCACATACATGAGAACATCATATAAATGTGAATACTTATTTTTACATGATTTATCACAGCAAAGAATATAGCTAGGGGTATTGACTAGAAGATGTACATGGGAAAGATTGAATAAACCAGGCACAGGCACCCTCAGTCCTACATTTCTAAGGGTTACATGGATACATTCGCCTCTCTAGTCAACCACAAAGACATGAGCAAAGTATCTCAATTTCTAGAACTCCATCTGAATCTTGAATCCAAAGCTGCTTTTTGAGGCTTTTGGGGGGAGAGTATGTGTGCAAAGTATGTATCCACATTTATATGATGGTCTCATGTATGTGGGGGCTCATGTAAAAATAAGCATGCCTATGTGTAAATGTGCATGTGGAGGCCAGAAGTTGGCATCAAAGATCTTCCTTGATTGCTTTCAACTTTATTTACTGAGGCAGAATCTCTTACTGAACATGGAGCTCTCCAGCTCAGCTAGTCTAGTCAGCCAGGGTGCCCTGGGGAATCCTGTCTCTGCTTCTCAAGTACTGGGATTACAGGTGGGCTGTCATGCCTACCTTGTTTTATGTGAGTTCTGGAGATCCAAACTCCAGTCTTCAAGTTTATGGAACAAGTACTTTATCCACTGAGTCATTTCCCCAGCCTGGCTTCATAGTTTTAAAATGGAGCTGGTTATATAGCTACATGACCAGGTATAGTTCAGATTCCAGTTTAGGTACTAAGTATACATAAAAAAATCAATACATTTACGTTAAAAACGCTGACAGACTGGTACCTCCATATTGCCTGGGGTGTACAAAATGGCAACATTGACCAGTGACTATGCAAATTTTCCGAAAGTTAAGTTCTTAGTCATTGTTCTGGCTCCAAAAGTCCTCTAATACAAACAAGAACTTAGTAAAAATAATCCATTGCAATGACACTTTTTCTCAATGTGGAATAATAGCTTAAAAGTCTCCTATGCCCCAAATCATACTTCAGTGACATAGGCAGAAGATAGACTTGATTTTGAATGGCTGCAATTCAGGCTCCTTGGCTACAAAAAGCACCTTCTTTAGAGCAGAGCAATGGTGACCAAAGTTAGACTCAACTACACTTGTGATCACCTACTTTCTCTGCCCATGTCCACTCCTGTGATAGTATGCTGCCTGACATATTTTCTCATGTCTGGAGATAGCTTGCAGTCACATGGTGGAAAGAATCATTTTTCCAACCATTTCCTTTCATGCAATGCATCTAACCAATGTCCGAAACTACTTTTATAGTGATGTTTCCTGCTTCCATTGTGTTTCTTCATTTGGGTTATAATTGTCAATATTAAAATGACTACAATTATCTTTTTTATATGGCATGTAGGAAGAAATTGGTAAGGAGATGTACATCATCAAGCATGGAGAAGTCCAAGTTCTTAGAGGCCCTGATGGTTCTCAAGTTCTGGTTACTCTGAAAGCTTAAGCAGTGTTGGGAGAAATCAGGTATCTGAAATTCACCTCATAAATGTCTAAGTCCATCATTTCCGAATGGAAATTGTAAAAGGACAATGGTAGGTTATAAAATATAAAATGTACATTTCTATTCAGGCTTATCAAAAGTCTGATACTGTGCTGAAAGCATTGGAAAAACTTGGATATTTACATTTCTAGCTTTCCCTTCTTACCAATTCCCTCAAAACAACAGAAGAAAGGGAGTGGGTTGTTGTGCTCCTTAGCTCTAGGACCTAGGTAAGTGCTTGGCAACAGTAGATGATGCTCAGTGTGTGTTGGATGAATGCAAATTAGTAGATGAATAGGAAAAAATGGAATGGGAGACTTGTCAGACAGTTGGAAGACTTTTGGGTCAGGCTAGCAAAGGGGTTTTGACCAGGTTAGTAAGATGATCATAGCTCTGAGTCCAGGTTGCCTCGGTCTACACCCTAATTTCACCATCTATTCTCTTTGTTCCTTATTTGACCCTTACTACTTTCCTTCAGTGCTCTCATCTTAACAATTATATTAGCACATATCTTAGAGGGTTACTAAATATATTAGTTGATTAAAAATACTTAGTATCTATTAAAACTCCTAAATATTAAGTATTGTTACCATTGTTTCCTATTGATCAAGAAAATTGGAATGGAATGGAATGCAACAGAACAGACCAGGCATGGTGGCACATGCTTTTAATCCCAGCACTTGGGAGGCAGAGCAGGCAGATCTTTGTAAATTGAAGGTCAGCCTTTACATAGTGAGTTCCAGGCCAGCTGGGGCTACAGGAAGACCCTGTCTCAAAAAGACCAAAAAAATAAAAAAAAAATAGAATGGAATAGGGAAATTCCCAAGAGAAAAAATATAGAATTCACATATGTTCTGGGCTAACAATTCCAAATGCATTATTGCATTTATTTAAACATATCCATTATTCACCCAAAAACATATTCACCAAGTGCTTGGTGCATGCTAGTGATTGTCAAGTATCACTCTAAAGTCTGGGCATGCACTATAATAAGAACAGGGAAATTGCTGTTCAGAGAGCTTACAGTCTGGCATGGAGAAACTGACAGTAGTTAAACAATTAACTAAATAGGATAAATTTCTGCTGTGAAATGCTGTGAATGCAAAAGATTGTAAGAAACTGAAAGAGAAAATTACTTTAGATATAGTCAGGGATGACCACTCTTACCAGAAAATATTTGACCTGAGATTTGAAACAATAAATAAATATGGAACCATTTAGCAATGGGAAAGATTCCTTCAGAACAGCAAAGGCCTAGAGGTAAAACCAGCTCATCTGGTCAAGGGACAGATACATCATCATCGCTGGTGCCCAGCAAATAAGGAAGGACATCTTGGCAAAATGAAGCCAAAGAGGTGAGCAACAGCTAGGTTTATGCAAGGCCTCAGACCATAGTAAGGAATCTGAGCCATGTTCTCAACGTGAATGGATGCCAGCAAAAAGGTTTTAGGTAAAAGAGTTTCATAATCAATGATTTCATGAAGAATGCTCTAACAGATACCTGAAAAGAGACAACAGGGGACCAAGAGTGACACAGAAACCAACTACATTTCACTTGCACTGATTCCAGTAAAGGATGATGGTGTCTTGAACTAGGAAGCTGATTCTATTTATTTATTTTTATTTTCCATGTATGAGTATTATGTCTGTGTGTGTGTGTGTGTAAGTGCACCCATGTTGTGCAGTCCCCACGAAGGACAGAAGAGGGTGCTGGATCCCTGCAACTGGAGTTACAGATGGTTATTAGCTGCCATGTCGGTGCTGGGATTTGAACCCAGGTCTTCTGCAGGAACAGCCAGTGTTCTTAACTGCTGAGCCATCTCTCCAGCCCCAGAAGCTGATTCTTAAAGAGAGAGAATAGCATAGTGTCAAGTAACTATTAATTATTTCATATGGAGAAAATTGCTGTTTCAAAGTACCATGTATCTTGTCCAGGATAAGACAAACCATGAGTGACAAATAACACTCAAACTTAAGTCTTCATGGATCAGTGTTCAGTGATCTTCCCATCACACTACAGAAGAAAGGCATCTAACCAATCTCTGATTTGACAAGTACTAAGAAGTTATCTTCATTTTAGAGGAACAGAAAAATTTCACATGACTTTTTATTAGCATAAATGTTTCCTTAACGGGGCTGGAGAGATGGTTCAGTGGTTAAGAACACTGGTTGTTCTTGCAGAAGACCCTGGTTTGAATCCCAGCACCCACATGGCAGCTAACAACTGTCCATAACTCCAGTCCCTCTGATCTCTGTGGGCACTGCACTACACAGGTGCACTCCATCTGATCTCTGTGGGCACTGCACTACACAGGTGCACTTACCTACATGCAGGCAATACATGCATACACATAAAATAAAAATAATAAAAATTTTTAAATGTTTCCTTAGAACGCTAAAGCAGTTATTTTTCTGTTGATAACAGTACTTCACTTCTTAATATTTTCCCCCTCCTTAACAACTGGATAGGAACATCTTTGAGAAGCCTGCTCTGAACCAGAGGTGAAAACACTTGTTAAAATCTACAAAACTATATTCTTTGCCTATTTTCCATTACTTCCTTACTAGGAGTGCTTTCAAAAGTAATTTAATATTTTTGTAACTTAATAATTACTCATCTTCAAGGTCATAAAATATGCAACAAATCTAATCTGAAACATTGCCAAAATTAATTAGCTGATCTCTCCCAAGGGCTCTATTCCCTTAAAAGTAAAGCTTTATAAATACAAGTACATTAATTGCTGATATTATCATCACAGGAGGAAATAGACTAGGAATAGAATCCAGGTGCTGCTGTGTTAGCGCTAAAAGTAATTCTGCATTCCTCACAGCAATTTCTAAAAAAAAACTCTTACCCATTTGGATTTCTAAAGCCAGTTAAAATCAGTAAAGGAACCAGTCTCTAAACCTGCTTGACAGTCTCCTTAATTCAAGCAAAGAGGAGGTCTTTGTTTTAATTTACTTTTCGGCTGTGGCAAAAAAAAAAAGGATGCATGCATCTGCCTTTCCCAGACGCTCGTGGACTTCACAGGCCCACACCTGTCCCCCAGCCCTGGGCTACAGTCATTTATTTCAGATGGAGGCATATCTGCGAAACATCCAGATACTTGAAAGATCTCATAATAGTGTTTACTACTCAAACATGCTGTGACCTTTGTTAAAATGAACTGAATCCAGCACTGGCATGTAGCTTTTTACATTATTTTTTCTTAGACAATGTAGGAAACAAAAAAATTGAGGAATTTCAAGGACATTGTATATTAATCCAAAAGTGCAAAGCCCTGGCTAAAATATAAATTTACAGCCTGTCATGGAGAAAATTCAGACCACATTCCCAGTTAGTATCCGGAAAGTGTTAATACCATCTTCTTAAAAGAAAGACCCAGGTCTGCCTCATGGTGTTTCTGACTCCGTTATTATATTTAGTGTCAAGTGTTATTTACCAAGTGGATTTAACCACTTCTTATCTGCCTTCTACATCTGCTAAAATCACATTTTTCTTTAAATAACTCCATTTTTACCCTCATTTGGCTGTTATGATCCAAATAGGATTGCCAAAAGGCCCAGAAGTAAGTAAGAAACAATTGCTTGCCTCCAGCGCCTCAGTAATGAAAGTTTCAATTCCAAGGCTTAAACGTCCAGGTGAAATGCAATGATTAGTGTACATGTCTCACTATAGAACACCCTCCCCTGGAAGACTCCCACTCATCCTTCAAGAACTAATCCAAATGCTATCCCTTTGAAGCCCTCTTTCCACCACCCCTAAACAAATATTCACTTCCTGTTCTTTGCTTCCAAGCTATTTCACTTATTTTATTACAGCAGTTACCACAAATTTATAGTTAATTTGTTCAGACAGGTTTTCAAGAGATAGCGCTATTAAAATTTAAGAACTAGCTGTTATCCTTCGTTGTGTTCTAGCAGCTATATGAAAACTGGACAGTACATGGTGGGTTTTATTTCTATCCTGCCTGCATTCAAAATAAAAAAATTACATCACTGATTCAGCACTTTTTTAGTTAATGAAATAGTTAATTGTGATATTATAAAGAAAAAATTATACTCCAGACAAGCATAATGTGATATTCCTTCTTTGACAGATTCAGGCAGGCATAAAGCTACAAAAGTGACCAAGTAATAGTCTCTCGCTTAAGAACCTCACCTACAAGTGAGATAAACCAATGGAAGTGTCAATGCCAAGTGATTAGATGTTGGATCAAGTCCAATGATGACAGTATTCACAGGACACTATGGTACATAACTGCTACACAGGACTAATAATTGTCTTTCAGAGTTGGCAATTATTTGAGATTAGTGGGTGTGTTGGTTTTCCTTCATTGTAACAACACCTGAGATAATTAACTTATAGAGACAACTTTCGTTTGGGCTCACGGTTTGGGGATTTCTTGTCCAGAGCCAATGAGCCCTGTTGCAGTTACACCCACAGTGAGATAGCACAGCATAGCAGAACCACGCGGCAGAGCAATACCGCTCATTTCGTCGCCAGGGAGCTAAAAAAGAAAGAAAAGGAAGGGGCTAGTGACCCACAGTTCACTTCAGGGACACAATCTCAATAACCTGAAGACCTCCTATTGCCTATTAAAGTTTGTACAGCCTCCCCTTAGTGACACTCTAGGAGCTAATCCTTTCCACATGGACTTTGGAGGGAAACGTAAAATCCAAACTAGCAGGAAGGGACTGAAGACAGATCCTTCATTACTCTTCGGAGAAGTATATAAATGGTGATCTGTGTATTTGGTCAGTCCTGTAACTCTTACTTTGGTGCATGTAAAGGACTGTTCACATGATATTCTATGGTGGATAAAGGGTGACCTCCATGAAGAAGTGTCCACATTCTAACCCTCAGAATCCATAAATATGGCCTTATTTGGAAAAACAGTGTGCTGTTCAAAGATATCCATAAGATGATGAGTTTGAAATGAGATCATCCTACATTATCTGAACAGGTATGGAATCCAGTAAC